TTTTCCATTTGCCTGAAATATTGTCTTCCAACCCTTCACCCTGAGTCTTGTTTTGTCTTTCAAGGTTAGGTGTGTTTTCTGGAGGTAGCATATGGGGGCCTGTGCTTTTTTATCCAATTGGCCAGTTTGTGCCGTTTCGGTGGGAAATTTGAGACATTAACATTTATTGAGAGAATTGATAAGTGTGATGCAGTTGTACTCATCTTATTTTGTGAAGGTCTGCTGTTTAGTTTTATCCTTTGCACCATTATGAAAGGTAGGTTTTGTCCTTTAGTTTCTGGGTGTTTACTTACTCCACGCTGATGATGTTCAGCGTGGAGAATAGGTCGAAGTGTTCAACCCCAGCTGTTCAACCAGATGTCATTCGAGCCTACTCACTGCTCTGGCAAGTAGCCCAGTTCAAAACCAAAATATTGCAGGACGGCCTTTTCCTACCTCCAGCCCTTTGAGGGAGAGCCTGCCAACTGGCCAGCTTCTGCCTGTATCAAGCACCTGCCTTCTGCATTGGTTTTCCTCAGCTCCAGACCTCCTCGTTGGCTCCTAAAGTCTCCTGCTGCTTCAGTGTGCCCCTTGAGTGATGTTTCTGTGCGGATCCCCCCAGCCAGCGGTGGCTGATGTCCACTTTCCTCTGTCTCACCATAAGTAGCCGGCAAGGAGATGTCTCTAGTCTGCTGTCTTAGTCTATAAAACCTCACTCTCTTCATAACATCCTTTGAAGCACAAAGGAGAGCAAGATTTTTTTCTTCAAAGAGAAATTAGACCGACAGAATACACCAGGGAGGTAAATAGCAAATATGACTACAACCAGCCAGCAAGTGGCCCAAACTAGAGCTCTGGTAGCCTACACTGTCCTCTCTCCTTCACCACACCCATTCATTTACTTACTCAATCATTTGACAAACTCAGAGTCTAGTGAGGGTAGCCAATATGGAAACAGGTGAATACCACGCTGAGTGTTATGAACTCTAACCCTGGGGAAAGTCCAGGAGGCCAATGGCAGGTGTGCACTTCAAGTCATATTGCGGATTCCACTTTTGAAATGTCTTCAAATTCCCCCCTTCCTTTCTGTTCCTGTGGCCACGGGTATCCCTTGTCTCTAGTCTATCCATTAGTCTGAGCCATCTGAGAAGCTGATGCCAGGATGAGATTAAATGTGCAAGGATTTTATTAGAGAAAACAACTGTGAGAGAGAAAATGGAGAGGGAACCAGGGAGGCTGGGAAAGCCTCCAACTGCAATGTAAGTCTGGCCACAGGTGAAGAAGAGAGGGAAGGAAGGTTGGGTGGAAGAGTCCTGGTCTGCCACGTGGCTTAAGGAAGGTTTGGCAGGGTGTCAGAGCCCTTAAAGCCCAAGTCAGTGGTCAGAGGAATCCCAAGTCTCCTGGGAGTGGGTCTGCCTTAGTCTCACTCTCCTGGTAAAGCATTGGCTGGGATGTCCCCCGAGAACAGTGGCCTTGGTGCAAACACAGAGTACTACAATCCTCGGTCAGTTACGGTCCCTGTAGCTGGAGGTCTGTGAGGTTTATTCTGATCCCCTCATATCCCACACAGGGCCAGTAAAGCAGTTCAGTGATGTGTCTGAAGTACAATCTTCCCCTTGCCATTTTTTGGCTCAAACTCATTTCAGGGTTCACCTTCGTCCATAGATGAAAGTCGCAGCTCCTTATCGCAGGTCTCCAGGGTCTGGTGGGGGAGGAGTGATCCATCTGTGTGCTCGGTTCCCACTTCACCCCTGTTCCCACCTTGTATGCCCCGACTCCCCGGGGCTGACAGCCTACTGCTGCCCGGACACGTTCTCTTTCCTACCTCCATGTCCCTGCCGCCGCTGGGCCTTGGGCCCGGACAGTCCTTCCCTACACCTCCATCGACGAAGCCCAGCTCCAGTGTCAAGTGCTTCCCCCACTCCCTGGGTTCAGTTGGCAGCATCTCCTCACTGTATCTCTGGTCCAGGCCTGGATTCTCTGGAGTAGACAGAGGATTCCCGGGGCTGTGTCAGGAGAAATGGACAAACTACCGCGATGGTCCTCTTGAACTTGTCTCCATTTCTCCCAGTGCAGGCTGGCTTGCACGGCCTCAACCCACTCTCACTGTCCCAGCAGAGTCCAGGACAGTTGGACAGATGTCTTCTCCTCCTCACCCCTCCACCTTTCAGTCCTGCCTTCCTAGGCTCAAGATTCGAGGTTTTATTTTTAGATGACACATTGAACTGGGGCTCCAGGAATCCACTTGACATCTGAGGTGGAACCAGACCCCAGGCTGGCACTGGCTTTGAGCTCTAGCTTGGCAAAGGAGCCATGAGACAGTCCCAGGGCAGTGCTGGGGGCTGGGCCCCAGAGAGGCAGCACCCCAGTGCAGACAGGCCCTAAGCAGACAGCATGAAGTTTGAGGAGCTGTCTCTCAGGGTGCAACAGGTCCCTATACTGCCTCACCTGAGCCCCTCCTTTGACAACCGGGACCTGGAGAGGCCAAGCTTACCAGGAGCAGAACTAGGGTAGAACCTGTGTCCCCACAATGCAGCCAGGCTGCCAAAATTAAAAAGTAGAACAGAATGACAGGTTTTGGATTAGGTATTTCATGTGCATTTTAAAAGTTATTTCTCATAGCCATACAAAGTTGCTATTTCCAGTGAGGCAACTGAAGCTACAGAGGTTAAATAACTGCCCAGCGTCACATCGGTGTCATATCAGTGAGCAGTCAGTCAGAGAAGCCGAACCACGGGAAGAGGGGTGTGTGTGTCTTTATATACATCTTCATCTGGAACAGCCCCCCCTGCCTAATTCCAAAGTTCATTCTCTTTCCACTGGGCCCCCTGGCTGCCCAGAAAGAAAATAGAATCAACCTCTACAATCCTGCTGAGATTCTAAGATAGGGAGGTTAGGACATCATAAAATCGTGAGCATGTGGTTATGAGTAGTTGTGAAGCACAAAAAAGAAGGGCAGATAGCTTCACAGAGGGTAGTGGCAACGTTTCTTTTACTTCCTAGCAAAAGAATCTCATTAAACTTCTGTCTAAGGAAAGGGAAAGGAAAGGAAAGGAGGCTCGGCGCCTGTGGCTCAAGTGGCTAAGGCACCAGCCACATACACCTAAGGTGGCGGGTTCGAATCCAGCCCGGCTGCCAAACAACAATGACGGCTGCAACCAAAAATAGCTGGGTGTTGTGGCGGGTGCCTGTGGTCCCAGCTACTTGGGAGGCTGAGGCAGGAGACTCGCTTGAGCCCAGGAATTGGAGGTTGCTGTGATGTCACAGCACTCTACCCTGGGGGACAGCTTGAAGCACTGTCTCAAAAAAAAAAAAAGAAAAGGAAAGCAAAAGGAAAGGGAAGGGAAAGGAAAGGGAAAAGAACAGTAATTTCTATGTCCTTGCTTGGCTCTCCCATTCTCTGGGTACGGCATTTAGCTCCTATCTCCAACTTAACACCACGAGGAGCCCCCAGTGACGTGAGCCTGTGGCCTACAGGCCAGATCTAGTTGTGTTTGGCCACTAATAATTTGAAGTTTTAAAAAAATTGTGGTGAAGTGCACATAACAAAATTTACCACTTTAACCATTTTTTTTTTTTTTTTTAGACGGAGCCTCAAGCTATTCCCCTGGGTAGAGCGCTGTGGCATCACAGCTCACAGCAACCTCCAACTCCTGGGCTCAAGTGAGTCTTCTGCCTCACCCTCCCAAGTAGCTGGGACCATAGGTGCCTGCCACAACATCTGGCCATTTTTTGGTTGCAGCCATCATTGTTGTTTGGTAGGCCCAGGCTGGGGATTCGAACCCGCCACCTTAGGTGTATGTGGCTGGTGCCTTAGCTGCTTGAGCCACAGGCACCAAGCCCACTTTAACCATTGTTAAAGGGTATTACGTCCATTCACATCACTGTGCAGCCATCACCACCACCTCAGGAGCTCTTTTGTCTGTCCCAATTGAAACTCTGTACCCCTTAAACACTGATTCCCTTGCAGGGCACAGTGTGCTGGGAAGCACCATGGAAGGCTGAGGCCCTCATCTCATCTCCTTTGGTATTTGCCAAACTGAGAATATTAACAGCCTCAGAAATTTTTCACAAGAGTGGTTGCAAAGCCCAGTCTCCCATTCTGAATCTGCGCAACTGAAATCTTGGGCCTAGAGTGGGAGCTTCACATTTATCACCTTTCACACTTTATCCAATATCACAGGGTGTCTGCCTTGACCAGATGGGTTCAGAGGAGACCCAGATGTGTTCTCATGCTCAAGAAAGGTAAAGGAATATTGAGCTCTTTTAGTGCAGGGAAGAGAATATTGATTTGAATCTTGATGGAGTCCAGGGCAGCAGGACTGTCATTGGGTAATGGGACTGAGGAAAGATGGCCAGATGCTGTGGCGTTAGTCCCTAAGATTTTTTTTTTATTTAGAGACAGAGTCTCACTTCATTGCCTTCAGTAGAGTGCTGCGGCGTTATAACTCACAGCAACCTCCAACTCCTGGGCTTAGGCAATTCTCTTGCCTCAGCCTCCAGAGTAGCTGGGACTACAGGCGCCCACCAGAACACCAGCTATTTTTTGTTGTTGCCATTTGCCTGGGGCCGAATTTGAACCCGCCACCCTCGGTATATGGGGCCGGCGTCCTACCCACTGAGCCACAAGTGCCACCCAGTCCCCAACATCTTAAACATCTTTACCTGCCTCAGGTTTACCCAGCCTGGTGGCTCCCTGCCTCACAGCAGTGGACCATCTGCCTGTCCCTGCATGGCTCTTGTCCCTCCCTGAGAGCCCAGCAGGTTAGCCTGGGGATTTGAGAGAAACTGCAGGCCCAGCAGGCACCGCTGGGTGCTCCTGCCATCTCCCGAGAGCAGCCGCCTCTCAGAACCTTCCTGCTGATTCAGGCCCCATGCCCTCCCGCTACCTTCCACGCCAGCGGCAGGATCGCACACCAGTGCTGCCTGCATGATACCCCAGCCTGGGTGGTGCCAACATTCAGACCACATGGAAGGAAAAACGCTCTCTTTATTGCTCTGGCTTGGCCTCCCAGGTGTCTCCCAGGACGCTGTGTTGTCCTTGTCCTCAGGGGTTGCAATGGTGGTCAGAGTTGGGGGTGGCTCAGATGCCACCTGGCAGCAGCCTCAGTCAGTCTTCCTGAACCCTGGAAGGCAAAAGCACAGGATGGCACGGGCCTCCCAAGGCAGCCAGGCCTCATCCCCACCCTCACCCCACATGCCCAGAAACCCTCACAGTTGGCGTAAGATAGTCATCCTGGAAGCCACTGGTGTCTGTGAACCACTGTCATAGTAACTAATTCTCCTTTTATTAATTAAGTGGATTAAAGAAGATATATCTCCCTGGCAGACACAGAGCTGCCCGGCTTCTCCGTTGTGAAGTATAAGGTGGACATAGTATAAGGTGGTCAAAAAAGAGGCCACGTTAGCTTGGCCCAGCCACTCCCGCCGTGACCCTGGGCCCGTCACTGCACCTCTCCAAGCCACAGTTTCCTCATCAATCAACCGTAACGTGACTAAACCCACCTCCCCAGGTGCTATGAGGCAACTCCAACCAGAGTCAAGATGGCGTTTGGAGAAGTGCCAAGTTCCGTGAGGATACGAGGAATAACCAGAGTCCCCTCGCTTTTCTGGTTTCAGGCTGACAGCCTTGGGCATCTGTGTCTCACTGGATTTTCAGGACACCATATGCAGTAGGAAGTGTTACACTCATTTCCCAGTTGAGGAAACTGAAACTAAAGGAGGCTACAGGGTCCCATCACCCAGGATCACAGAGCTGGGAAACTGGCAGGAGTGGGACGTGAACCAGGGCCTCTGCCTGTGGGCCCTGTGCTGTTTCCTATATGCTAAGCCTCTCCCCAAATAGAAGACCCTGATAGGGAGAGAGGGAAATGGGAAGGATTTAACAGTTACCCATCAGCCTAAACTTCTGAAAGAGGGGGATGAAGCCGTGCAGGACACTGTGGATGCGGTATACTGCCCAGAAACAAAGAGAAAGGGGCGTTAGGAGTGTAGGTCAGGTCACACCCTCCCACCTCCCTACCCTCGGACAAAGGCCTAACCCACAAAAGCAAAGCTGTGACGTGGTGGTGAGCTTAGATAATAGTGCCAGAGCTCCAGTTACTAAAACAGCAACCGTAACAGTCAGGAAGAGTGGTGGCAGGAAGTTACAGTTTGGGCAAATGCAGTTCCCAACCCCATTAACTAATTTGTTAGCATTTGGCTAATTCTATTTACTTGTAACTTTATTTATTTATTTTTTTTGAGACAGACCCTCAAGCTGTTGCCCTGGGTAGAGTTCCGTGGCATCACAGCTCATAGCAACCTCCAGCTTCTGGGCTCAAGAGAGTCTCCTGCTTCAGCCTCCCAAGTAGCTGGGATTACAGGTGCCTGCCACAACGCCCGGCTATTTTTTGGTTGCAGCTGTCATTGTTGTTTGCCAGGCTGGGCTGGATTTGAACCTGCTAGCTCTGGTGTATGTGCTGGTGCCTTAGCGCCTTGAGCTACAGGCACCAAGCCTATTTATTTATTTTTTGGGTCCAGGCTGGGCTCAAATTCCTGGGCTCAAGTGATCTTCTCTCCTCAGCCTTCTAACGAGCTGGGACTACAGGCATGTGTCACCAAACCAGGCTTGTTTGCCACCTTAAACTGCTTTTGTTGTATTTTTATGGACTCGCCCATTTTTTCCACAGGGTTTTGCCACTGACCTCACATTGACGTGAAAGTGTTCAGGAAGAAAACATGAGCATAAGGAAATTACAAAAAAACTGTTTAGGTTGTGACTCTCTGGCCCTTAGCAAGCAAGTATGGCCGTCCCAGCCACCACCCTATGAGACTGTGTGTGTGTGTGTGTGCGTGTGTGGAGAGGGACTTACCTAGCCCAAAGTAGATGCCAACTGTCTCCAAGGAGGCGAAGGTGAGCAGGCCGACCCCGAGGGACATGAACCAGTCTGTAAGGGCAGGAGGGAGATGATTGGCCTGCAGGTCTGGACAGCCCGCTCACTTCTGCTCCCCCAGGCCCACTCCCTCCTCTCTTCCCCAAGGCCCAGCCCTCACCTGAGTAATAGTGGTAACACACCAGCAAGGCCCCGATGGCAAAGCACAGGAGGACGAAATGGAAAAACTCATCTGTAAAGGCAGAAGTAGGGAATTGCTGTTTGCTTCTCTCTCTCTCTCTCTCTTTTTTTTTTTTTTTTTGAGACAGAGCCTCAAACTGTCCCCCTGGGTAGAGTGCTGTGGCATCACAGCTCACAGCAACCTCCAACTCCTGGACTCAAGTGAGTCTCCTGCCTCAGCCTCCCAAGTAGCTGGAACCACAAGTGCCCGCCACAATGCCTGGCTTTTTTGGTTGCAGCCGTCATTGTTTTGGCGGGCCCAGGCTGGATTCCAACCCACCACCTTAGGTATATGTGGCTGGCACCTTAGCCACTTGAGCCACAGGCGCCAAGCCTCTCTCTTTTTTAAATTACAAAATGTCAGGCCCATTGTTATGTATAACCCTAGCTACTATGGGAGGTTGAGGTGTCGCTTGAGCTCATGAGTTTGACACCAGCTTGAGCAAGAGTGAGACTCCTATCTCTATAAAAGTAGAAAAAGTAAAAATAGAAAATAGTAAAAATAGAAAAATCAGCTGGGCATGGTGGCGGGAGCCTGTAGCTCCAGCTATTCAGGAGGCTGAGGCAAGAGGATCGCTTAAGCCCAGGAGTTTGAGGATGCTGTGAGCTATGATGACATCACTGCACTCTACCTGGGGTAACACAGGGAGACTCTGTCTCAAAAAAATTCAGAAAATCTTTGCTTCAAAGGAATTTTATGCAGAGACACTGTTCCTGACCAGCCAAGTTAGAACTGTACCCCCAAACCCACCTTTTATCTTAGTTTATCATTTTTATAACATTTGTTACCAGCCAACTGATCATATTTTCATTTTTGTGTTTACTCTGTGTCCCCCACCATGTGGCTCCAGCGTAGACAGGGATTTTAGCTGGTCTGGTCCCTTGTTGGGACCTCCAGCAGTGAGAGCAGCAGTGTGCACACCGAGGTACTCAGGACTTTGTTGCCCAGTTTAAAGTTTCACTGGCCTCATTCTCCCTCCCAAATCTCACTCCATAAAAGCGAGCGGTGATGGGCAGCATTTTCCCAGGCATATATATGCACACTTTTAAAACAAAAATGGGACTGATCTATATCCCTGCTGCTCTGTAGTTTGCGTTTTCCCTCTCGTTGACAGAGCAAGGCCGTCTTCCATCTCAGAGCACATAGATCCCCCTTGTTCTTCTTGGAGGCTGCACGGTGTTCCGCGGTGTAAATCTACCCTAATTGGTTTAACTGGACCCCACTGATGAAGTCAGAGGTGCTGGATTCTTTTCCTGTGTGTGTGTTTTTGTGTGTCCGCACAAGGCAAGGTAAGCCGATGGGGCTGAAGCCCAGACACCACGTAGTGAGGGTCCCAGTAGCTGGAGTGGAGGGACTGTTAAAATAGGGGACACTTTGTATGCTGAAGAGGTTAGGCCAGAGTGAGGACTTGGAATAAGGTTGGAGCTGGAAGGGCTCTTGGGGATCCTTCTCGTTCAGTTTTTCTCAGACTTCAGTCACCTGCACACCACTTTGACTCGTGTCATTTCTGCTTAGCACCACTCACCGCCTTTACAGCTGCAAGGATCATCTGTGCTAATATTTGCTTCACAGTTTTCTTTAAATAGATTCCTTTTTTCCAGAAATATATTTGCTTTAAAATGAAACTTTGTTATGACTGTTAAATGGAAAACCAGGATACCCTAACATAAAAAGCAACGCGAGGCAAACAAAACAAGACGGCGACATTCTCGCCAGCCCCTGCTGCCCACGGAAGTCTTGGACCCAGGGGGCGGCCAGTGCTCTGTGGCTGAGGGGCAAGGAGGGAGCACCAGACCCATGTACGGCCCAGGGCTCCACATAGAGACCATGCCCTGGGTAAAAGCACAGAGAGAGGAAAGCTTTTGGGCTTTGGGGTATACTGCCATGTCCTGAAGCAACCTGGCTGCAGCCTGCACTTTGGGAATCTCCGTTCTGGTCCAACAAGTCTCATTTTATATATCTCACCAAAGTTAAACAGGGGGCCTGGGTTCATCCTGCTGGACAGGGGCAGAGTGAGAGGCCCAGGTCCCCGGCTCTCTGAGGGTGGGGCTTTTGCAATAGCACAGAACAGGAGACCATGATCAAAACCACGGCCTCCCTGCTGGCCCTCTCCTTCCTCCTGGAAGTCCCCACAGATCCCAACCCCAGGGGTAGGGGAGGTCCCTTCAGCTCTCCTGGCTCCTTCCCTGGAATCTAGTTTAATCTAACTTCACAGCTCCCCATCCCGCCACAAGGCCTGGAAGGCGTTTATCATCTTCACACCTCCATGTATAGCAGCAAGCACGGAGGACTAGGGCTTGAGTCCAGGCTGTGCCACTGACAAGCTGTAAGGCTACTTACTCCCCATCCTTGAGCCTCAGTTTCCATATTGACAAAATGGGAATCACTGCCCCACCTTGGGACAGTGAGCTGAGGAATTTGCAAACTGCAGGGCACAGGACAGAGGTGGGCTGGGATTACCAAGCTCTAGCTGCCTTTTACAGAGACATGTGGACCAGACAGGAGGGTGCAGCCCTGGAACCCCGATTTCCTTACCGTCTTTCTTTATATTCAGTCTTCTGAGCTGAGAGGCCTCCACTTCTCCTTAGCAATAAGAGAGAGAGACAGTGTTCAACTTTAATGTGGGACACAGATGGGACCTTCTCTTCCTTACCTCTCTGAGAATTTAACTAGATGCTTTGTCCTCGGTGAGATGGTGCTCATCGCAGGACCAGTTATATAAAACTGTGAAGATGGGGGTGCTGCCCTTGGGACCCCCACTGATCCTTCCTTCCTCCACATGCCAGAGCCTGCCTTCTGCTCCATTTCCCCTGCCCTGGAGCTCCATTTCCTGACACTCTGGATGGTGATGGCATCCTGGCTGGGACTGACCCACCTTCATAGGCTGTCTGTGGTCCCGTCCCACCCCCTGGCATTCAGACCACTTCCAGCCCCCCCATTTGAGCTTTGCATATTTACCACTTGCTGGGTCTGAGCCTCTCCTTCGGAGTCCTGGAAACAAGAAGTTCAATGTTAATGCCAGGCCAGCTTGGGTTCCTTAATGGGTGCCTCTACCCTGGGGGAGGATAGAGGTGACCTAAAACAAAGTCCCCTTGAATTCTCCAGCCCCCAAGGGATCTTTCTATCTATTGGTGGCTGGTTGTAATCCCCTTGCCTCTTACCTAGACTCCTGTCTAACCTCCATGCCTCATGCTGCAACCTGGAGCCCCAGGTGCCCTGACCATAGCTGACTCCCTCTGGACAGAGGTGATGGCCAGACCTCCAGGCTCAACACTAGCACTGATAGGTACCCTGCCCCTGCTGGACACTCACCTGTTTCCCCAGAGGGCACCACATCTCCAGGGGCATCTACACAGAAGAAAAATCAGTGATCACACATCCATGAGCCTTTGGGTGGGGAGAAGTTACACCTCCGGGAAGGTAGACCCTGCTGGGAGATTCTCCACTTGATCTGGAGTGGGCCAGGTGAGGACTGCCGCAGGCTGGAGAGTCCCTGCTCCATCTATAGGGGCAGCCACCATCCACCACCCATGGAAACCTACTGCAGGTACATTGCTCAGCCTTACAGGTCTTCCAAGTTCTCACAAGATACCAGATGTTAACGTAAACTTCCTGATTTAGAAAAAAAAAATTGGCAATTCCTGTATTCCCCAAAATCAGAGATGCCATTGTCTGGGAGAGGTAACATTATTTTATGTGCTGCTATAAAGGAAAATCTCTATCTGTTATGGTTGTAAGTTGCTAGCGATTGTTAAGGTGCATCCTGACTTCAGAGATGTTCAAATGTGAAAAAAATGTAGAACTGATGAATGATATTCACAATCATAACTTTTTTTTTTTTTTTTTTTTTTTTTGAGACAGAGCCTCCAGCTGTCCCCCTGGGTAGAGTGCCATGGCATTACAGCTCACAGCAACCTCCAACTCCTGGGCTCAAGCGAGTCTCCTGCCTCCGCCTCCCAAGTAGCTGGGACCACAGGCGCCCGCCACAACGCCCGGCTATTTTTTGGTTGCAGCCGTCATTGTTGTTTGGCGGGTCCGGGCTGGGGATTCGAACCCGCCACCTTAGGTGTACGTGGCTGGCGCCTTAGCCGGTTGAGCTATAGGCGCCGAGCCCACAATCATAACTTTTTATTTTTGGGTCAGAGTCTCACTCTGTTGCCCCGGGTAGAGTGCTGTGGCATCATATCTCACATCAACCTCCAACTCCTGGGCTCAAGTGATCTTCTTGCCTCAGCCTCCCAAGTAGCTGGGATAACAGGTGCTCACAGAACACCTGGCTAATTTTTTATTTTTAGTAGAGATGAGGGTCTCACTTTTGCTTAGGCTGGTCTCGAACTCCTGAGCACAAGCAATCCTCCCACCTCAGCCTCCCAGAGTATACAATCATAATTTTTAAAAAACACTCAAGGTTGGGTGGTGCCTGTAGCTCAGGGTTAAGGCGCCAGCCACATACACCAAGCTCAAGGGTTCGAACCCAGCCCAGGCCAGCTAAACAACAATGACAACTGCAACAACAATAACAACAACAAAATAGCCAGGCATTGTGGTGGGCACCTGTAGTCCCAGCTACTTGGGAGGCTGAGGCAAGAAAATTGCTTAAGGTTCAGCACCTATGGCTCAAGCGGCTAAGGCACCAGCCACATACACCTAAGGTGGCGGGTTCAAATACAGCCTCCCAAACAGCAATGGCTGCAACCAAAAAATAGCCAGCGTCGTGGCGGGCACCTGTAGTCCCAGCTACTTGGGAGGTAGAGGCAGGAGAATCACTTGAGCCCAGGAGTTGGAGGTTGCTGTGAGCTGTGATGCCACTGCACTTCACTCAGAGCAATAGTTTGAGGCTCTGTCTCAAAAAAAAAGAAAAGAAAATTGCTTAAGCCCAAGAGTTTGAGGTTACTGTAAGCTGTGATGCCATGACACTCTACTGAGAGCAACAGCTTGAGACTCTGTCTCAAAAAACAAAAACAAAAACAAGCAAAAAAACCACTCAGAGCCAGATAAAATGCATCTGTACAGGCTCAGCGCCTGTGGCTCAAGTGGCTAAGGCGCCAGCCACATACACCCAAGGTGGCGGGTTGGAATCCAGCCCGGGCCGCCAAACAACAATGTCGGCTGCAACCAAAAAAATAGCCAGGCGTTGTGGCGGGCGCCTGTGGTCCCAGCTACTTGGGAGGCAGAGGCAGGAGACTCGCCTGAGCCCAGGAGTTGGAGGTTGCTGTGAGCTGAGATGCCACTGCAATCTACCCAGGGGGACAGCTTGAGGCTCCTGTCTAAAAAAAAAAAAAATGCGTCTGTACACATGGGTCACCCTTTGGCAATGTGTCTGCTCAGGCTATCCACGTGCAGGTGACGAAATCTCACCACATGACTCCTGGATCTCAAATAGGTGGAGCCAAGATGAGTTGTACCAGGGAGTGGTGGCCTCCATGACAGCCGCCGAGACCCTTGTCTGGGCTGCTGAGGGTGAGGTGAGCCCCACAGAGCTGCCCTGGCTGCAGCATCCCTGTTAATCCCATCCTGGGTGGCCTTCCCACCCGTCCACCATCCACCATGTGGTCCTTTGTGCCTGTTCTAGTTCTCTGGTGACTTCTAGCATGTCATCTTCTGCTCAAGGGCAGCAGGGCCCCCTGTGTCTCCCCACACACCAGGCCCTACTCCTGGACATTTTGTCCTTCAGGGCAGCCGCAGGACATGCTGAGCACATGACAATACTCAGCACACTGAGCTGTCCTTAGGGCTAATCTGCAAACAGGGGACAACATCTGCAAGTGATCAGAGAGTGGCCAATACCGGGAGTGCCGAAAACATACCAAAAGCAGCATGAAATACGACGCAAACAATGTAAATTACTGAGCACATCTGATATCTTGTGGGGGAAAGTGATTCACAAGTAAGTGACTACATCTGCATTTTCTACACTGAATATGAATTACTTTTATAAGAAAAAATATTTTAAAATTCAAATAAACATAAAAGTTTTTCTTAATTTATACCCAGTGAAAACTTTCTTAAACTACTTGAGTAATTTAAGCATTTTTCTAAACTAAGTAATACTTGCTTTTGTTAAAAAGGAAAAAAACATCAGATAAGCAAATAAAACACTATAGAGGGCGGTGCCTGTGGTTCAAAGGAGTAGGGCACCAGTCCCAGATCCCGGAGGTGGCGGGTTCAAACCCAGAACCAGCCAAAAACTGCAATTAAAAAAAAAAAAACACTATAAAGATTACTCACATGACTGTTAGTCTCTTTTTGAGTGAACATACAAGCATTTTCTGTGGTCTTTTTGGGTTATCAGCAGGCATTAGGAAACTACGTATATTTTGGAAATACTGGGTTAAAAAAAGTTAAACAGGCTTTCTTATCTGGTGTATTTGTCGATCTCTTTGGCAAATTGGTTCATGCTTATAAATTCTCCTATTTTGTCTCAGTACTACAAAGTGCCATATTATTTATACCCCCTCCCTATAGTAGTCACGGGTTTTGGAAACAATTATTCCATAAAAGGGTATTATAGAGACAAATCCCTAATTTTTCCTTACACACTCAAGCAGCCCAGTATTCTAGGCAATGAGTTACTGATCACGTCCATTTTGCTGGTTGGGAAGCTGAGCCCAGAAAGTTTGGGTGACCTGTCAAGGACTTGTCAAAGTCATCTACAAGTCAAGGTTATAGCTCAGAAGAGAATGCAGGGTTTGCTCAAAACAGTCTCATCGTGGTCAAAAATACCCCACCCCCATCGGCCAATGTAACACTCAGCTTGACACAACTCCTAGAGTTTCAGCTCCTGAAACACCCTTGTGACCTTTCTGCCTAAAAAAGCCCTAAGCCCTCCTTTAATTCTGTTTTTTCCAAAGCCACTGGACAATCAGTTACCTCCATAGAGTTGAAGCTCATCCTTTAAAACGTCAGGTTCCTCACTGGCAGCACCTGGTTGGAGACAAACCCCATTGGTCAGCTCACCCCAGACATAGTGACCCAGAGCCACTGCCATCTCTCACGGGTTTTTTGAACCCATGTACAAAGTACCACTGTCCTTGTGCTAGGGGCAAGGTGGAGGGTCGTCAAGAGGCAAGACAGACTACGAGTGCTTTCCCTCGGTACCGTCTGATCCAGCACCTCCAGAAGTGACCCTGTTTAGTTTACTAAGAAGGATGTCAGGACTTGAGAGGACCTGGGCCTTGCTCGAGGTCAATAATAATAGTTACCATTTATTGAGCACTTACTGTGTGCCAACACTGTACTAAGTAATTTATATTTAAGATTTCATTTGCTTCTCATAGAAATCCTCTGAAGAAGGTATTAGTTCCTAACTATCACCCATTATACAGATAAGAAAACTGAGGCTCAAAAAGTTAAGTAAGTTATTCTGCCAAAGTCACATAGCTAGTAAGTGGCGAATCCACCAGGTCTGTCAACAAAGACCACATTCCTAATCATTTTTACATCCGGAAATAGAACCCAGAGCTCAGCTCCAGCTTCATGGACAGCATTTATGAATCACCTCATGTGTGCCAGGTTCTGTACTAGGCATTAAGTCACACTATTTTCCCCACACAAAATTTGTAGGGTTTTTTTTTTTTTTTTTTTTTGCAAAAATTACTTCCTTTGGCTGTAAAAATAAGACATGCTTGTTGTAAATTACTTGTGGTGTAGGGTACTTTGAATAGGAGAAACTAAAAAACACTCATCACTCAGCCATCCAGGGATAACCGTATGAACATATTGACATTTCCCTTCCCGTCTTGTTTATAACCATAGAAGTGTGAATTTTTACAAAGGGATCTAATTAATTATATGACTTGACCTCTTTCTTTTTCACTTCAGAGATAGAAGAACAGCCAAAAACAGGCCGGGGTGCAGCGTCCTTTCCCTGTTTTACTTTTTCCTGCTTTTCCTCTGCCGTCCACAATACTGTGAAGGACATCTTCACACAGACAAGCCCAGTCCCGCTGAGAAACTCCACTGTTAGCCCAGTCAGCACAAGAGAAATGGGAAGGCCTGTCGCCTACCGGGGGAGCCATCGCTGGCGGGGTGTCCAGCCGCCCGGCTCCGTCGCCGTTTTCTGGTTCCTTTGTGGTGCTTGCCCTCATCACTGCTCTCTGCAGGGAAGAAACACAAGCTGTAGGAGAAGCTCAGCCTGGAACAAGCTGGGACTAAGTCCATGGCCAGAAGGAGCTTGGCTTTGGGGATTAAGGATGGGAGAAACCTGCCGCTAGCTTTCTGTGTGACCTTGACAGATCACTTAATAGTTCTCTTGCCTACTCCATAAGGCTTTCGGGAAAATTAGACAAAGTTTCAGGAGGCACCACGCTCCTGAGATGGTTTCCCTCCTGCCAAGTCAAAAGCTGTCTCATCTGTTTCCCCACGACTTTACATCATGCTGACTCCAGATGTTTGCTGTGACTCCCACCCACTTGGAAAGCCTTTCCCATCTGTCTTTCTTATCAGGGATGTTAAACTGAGGTCACACCTCCTATGGAAAGCCTTTTCTAACTCCCCTGGCTGACTCTGGTCTTGCCTTTCCCCTCCTGGAATTTCTATAGCACCAGTTGTCTGTGCTTAGCTCTGGACATGAGGGCCAGTGGTGCCATGATGCCATCTCCAACTATCTTGGGCTCCTGAAATGTGTGGCCTGGGTCCTCCCACCTCTCAAGGGTGCCAGGTCTGGAGCAGTTGATCAAGACTTGAAGAATGACAGAGTCATTTGTGCTGTTGGGACACTCAGCATCCCAAGAATTCAGGTCTCAGAGTTTCTGGCTTTGAGTCCAGAAAACTCCCCTTTCCTCAGGCTGACCAAGACGGCCCCAGCCGTGTTGGGTGCACCTCAGTATGTTTGGGACATCATGTCAATTATGGATAAATAAAATATCCAAGGAAACCAAGTTAACTGTGCTTAAAAATCAGTGTATAACACCAGTGGTATTCATTTCAGGAGAGAAGATTTGGGGTAACTTCTATGCCCTTCTTTTCCATAATTTATAAACATTCATCAATGCCAAAAACCCAGAACTTTCTTATTACTATAAAGTTAATTTATGTTGCAAAATAAGCAATATAGAAAATAAAGAAAACAAAAATCACTCCAAATTCTATCAGCCAGGGACAAGGTCCATCAACTTGCAAGTGGACATTATTTTAGAATTCTCTATGATGTATCCATGGTATACATTTTTATAAAAGATATAGAAAACATGCTATTTAAAATGAAGACAACTTTTGTACATGCTGATTTAATTATTTGAAAAATTACCCAGACTGCAGAACTATGAGCTAAACAAACCTCTTTTCTTTGTAAATTGAAGAAAAAAAAGTTAACCATGGCAGAAAGAATCAATTGTTCATTGCTGCTGTCTTGAAGCCTGATGCAAAGGCTGGTGCGTAGCTGGTGCTCAGTGCATGTGAGGAAGGAGGGGGCTCTCGGGCAACAGGTCACCCCCTGAGCCTGGGTCTGAGTTCCAGTAGCAGGTCAGCCCTGGCAAGACCAGGGACCAGGGTCCTGAATGTCAGTCTGTCTCTGTGCTTCTGGGACTCTGAGCTTATTTTCCTGTTGCTTTCTCTAAGCATTCAGTCCGCTAATTACGGCCAGTCCCATGGGGCTGTGGAGACTCCAGGGAAGGGGCTGTGGCCACACCTGGGGGTTGGCATTGGTGGGGGAGCAACACCCTTGAGGGACAACCAGAACCACAGGACAGACATTCCCTCCAGCCCAGGGAGGAGAACCAAAGGGACAGGGCTCAGTCCCCCTGTACCTAGGAGCTCTGCTTCTAGAACAAAATTTTATAGGTGGTGGGCTTGTGTTTTGTTTTTTTTTTCTTACACGAGGAGGTCGCTTCCTCTCAAGAATTATGTGGAGACTGGCTATGAACAACCCAATGGACCTACCTACCACTGTCTCTCAAATAGTGAAATAAACAGGGACTTTGTAACCTTGAGCCTCGGTCCCATCATTTGCAACATGACAACATAAGATCAGGGTATTTTTTCCTTTTTTTCTTCTCAGAGAACCATTTATTGGATAAGATCTTAAGCCCAAGATGGCAAAGTAAAACAGATCCTAGTATAGGAGCTCAGCTTCCCCAGCTCCTGAAAGAACTCCAAAGAATCCCAAGCTGGTTATTGCACTCCCTTACAGCAGGTATCCTCTTGTGCCTCAGTTTCCTTACCTGTAAAATGGGAATAATAATAGTACTTTCTTCAATGGGTTGTGGTGAGAATTGTTATTACATGTCAAGTGCTTGGAACAGTATCTGGTACACAGTGAGCACTCAGCATTTGTTGGTGGTGCTGCTGCTATAAATTCAACCTTAACATTTTGAATTAAAAGTATTAAAATGCAAGAACAGACCCAGTGCTGTGGCTCACTCAAGGAGAATCCCTTAAGCTCAGGAGTTCGAAATCACCCTGAGCAAGAGTGAGATCCTGTCTCTACTAAAAAATAGAAAAATTATCTGGGCATTGTGGAGGGCATCTATGGTCCCAGCTACTCAGAAGACTGGGGCAAGAGGATTGCTTGAGCCCAGGAGCCTGAGGTTACTGTAAGCTATGACAGCATAGAACTCTACTCAGAGGGACAGAGTGAGACTCTGTCTCAAAAAAAAAAAGTACATGAATACTCTGCTATTTCTTGGGGACTAATTGGTGCGATTTGTAATCAAGACCCTATTGGAGATATCATTCCTTTAAACTCACTAAAGTACTTGTGGGGAATCAATATTTAGGACGTGATTTGTACAAAGATTTCAAAAAGTAACAGCTTTTGGACAAGGAAGCTCAGGAGCATGGTAAACCTGGGAGGGGAAGATCTTAACAGTAACGGTTATTTTTAGAGCTTTTTCTGCCTGATGGGTGCTAAGACTTTACCTGTATGACAAATTTAATCCTCCCAATAATCCTATGAGGTATTACTATTATATCATCTCCATTTTCTAGATGGGGACACTTAGAAATTTACCCAAGGACACAAGACTAGTTAAGTGGCAAAGACAAGACTTGAACCTACAACGCACACGTTTGACTATGGCACTAGAGTGCCCTGATAGACCTAAACGCTACTTTACATGAGCTGCAGCCACTTGAGGGGCTGGGTGGTAAGCATTAAGAGTAGTTGCAGGCTCGGCACCTGTGGCTCAAGCGGCTAAGGCGCCAGCCACATACACCTAAGGTGGCGGGTTTGAATCCAGCCTGGGCCCGCCAGACAACAATGATGGCTGCAACCAAAAAATAGCCGGGCATTGCGGCAGGTGCCTGTGGGCCCAGCTACTTGGGAGGCTGAGGCAGGAGACTCGCTTGAGGCCAGGAGTTGGAGGTTG